GAAACTTCAGGCGAAACGCTTTTTTTAAAAACAAACAAAATATTTTGCGTGTGTTACCATGAAACTGAGTGGTTCAGTGCGTTGACAATGTGGCAATTAAGTCGATTATGCTTTGTCCTAAAATTGGCACACGACCGTTCTCAGCAAAGAATATTTAACAGCACCTGGTTTAAGGCTTCTTTAAAGACGGAAATTTCACAATTTTTAAAGAAAGTACCAAATACAATGATATCAGAAAAAAAAGGAAAGACAAAAAAACTCGAAATATAAAAACGGAGAACATCCCCGTAAAGTTTTCGATTCATGCGTTCTTTTGATATCCCTGTTAACTGAAACGTCATGCTTATTTTGCATATTTCCATTAATTTTTTTTAAAGTGCATATCAAGTTGTATCTTGACAAATGTTTTGGTGTCCGCTCAGGAGTGTTTATTAAAACCGTCAGTAAAGTTCTAAGTTGCCATTTAAAATGCAGATCAGACATTTATAAGACATCTCCAGTGTTGTGAAGAAGTCAGACGGTTGCGAGTCGCCTTGGAACACACCCTGTTACAAGAAAACTTAGTTAAACTGGAAGAACACAATGACATCGCTTAACAACACGTCTGTTGTCAGTGGAACTTCTGAAGACTACGGAGTGATCCAATACCAGGAAACTCTACCCCTGCGTGTTTTTCGTCATACCTTGTTTACCTGATCATCTCGGCCAGCTTGATCGGTAACTCGGTCCTTTGTAAAGCAATTTGGAGAGCGCCTCACCGCAAGCCGTTTTCATACCATCTCGTTGCCAACATGGCCTTTGCAGAAATCGTCAACTCTCTCTGTTTACCGATCATGTTCGTCTGGCAGTATGAAAAAGGACACAAGAATGTTGTCATCCACGATATCTGGTGCGTAGACAATCCCATCCAAGTTATTTCATTGATGGTAGTAACTTATTCGCTGGCAGCGCTCGCATTCTACCGCTACCGAGTACTCATCAACCCCATACAAAATTATGTATCTGGGAAATTGAAGACTGTGATCTTTTCCTGTTTGTGGCTTCTCCCTACTGCTGTCTGTGTGCCCATATTCATTCGAAACAGGTTCGTAGGTGGCCATTGTGAATTGCATCCTTTTGGGAATGTCTATGCCTATTCTCTCGTGTTATTCACCCTGAATTATGTCCTACCCTACCTGGTCATGCTAGCATCTTACGGAGCGGTAGCGTGGAACCTAAGACAGCGAATCGGCCAAAACACTTTCTATGCTCGCAGTAACTCGATCACCCCTTCCTCAGTTGCACCCCTAGAACTCCACACCAACTATCGGAGGAGAGAAACTACGACGCCAGAAGAACACCGACCAGGCCTAGTCTTAATAGATGTGAATAACCGTAGATGCACCAAGCCAGAAAACACCACTGACGCCGAGCAAGATTTACTGAAGATGATATTTGCGATAATTCTAATATTTGTGATTTGTTATTTCCCATATCAAGCCGTGTTTTTGTGGGAAAGTTTAGCTGATGTAAACGAGTGGAAATTTCGGTATCATAGCCTAATGCGAAGGTATAGTTTTATATTAATTTGTTTGCCAAGTGCTTTGCATCCTGTGTGTTACGGAACAATGAACAGCTTTTATGCTAAGGCATTCTCTAAGATGTTTCTTTGCAAATCCTAAAATCCTAACCATGTTTCTTTTTTATTTTCTTTTGGAGTATGATTTAAAGAAAGTTTTATTTTTAATAGCTGAATAAAGGAAGACAAGTAAGAGACTTTAAATCAAGTGGAAAATAAAACAGCAGCGCTATCCCGTAATTCACCCGAAAAATATATAAAAATATAAAGCATAACATTGATATCATTGAAAGAAGGTTAAATCAATAAAGGATGAAATGTTAAAGTTCGTCTAAGGGTAACAAGATCAACAGAGATTAAAATTGAAAAAAAAAAAAAATTAGTTTTTCCGTTGTAAGGAGAGATTTCCCATGTATTCCTTATTTGATTCGAATTTCACATCTAGCTTTTAAATATTCCCTTTGAAGTTGTGTTAACCGTGATTTGCATTGAATTTGCATTGAGTTGTTTTAGTTCCCTTAAATTATACACATTTTACTTCAATGTTTACTTTTAAAAGGATAATTTGTTTCTGGATAATTATACAGCTTAGTCACTGAATAACTGGATCTTTCGCCTGTTCAAATACCAACCGTTCGTAGTTTTCAGTTTTGACATTTTGAGGGATCCTGAGCAAAGGAAACTCGAATTCTTTTACACAGCTTTCTTTGTAGGTTTCCTAAAATTCACTTGCTTGACTGACATTTAATTTTGAGTTATTTAGTTTAACATATGAACTTTAAAACTGGATTTATCCAGATTTGTTTTCGCTGTTCAGCTGATTTTATTCAGCCTTCTTTCCATTTGTTTTGTGATGTTGTAATAAGGCAAAGTTGGTCGGTTTGTATAAATAGAGCACTGTTATTCCTGTTTTTCGATTTTACATTGCGGATATATTTGACTGTATGATTTACGTTCACGAGCTGAAGATTAAACTGTTGAAGTCCAAGTTTGAGTCCTGTCCTGTTTCCAGTTGTAGCAGATCCTAGTACCTTGGAATAGTGACGAGTTCCTTTCCCGCTAGCCAAGCGAGTTGTAGAGTTAGTTTTCTCCTTGTTGTTCTTAAGCCGAAGTCGCTCGAGTTCTCTTAACGCTTATCTCCCCGATTTGTGCTTGGAACTGACTAAACCTATCGTCACACCTTCGTTCTCTCGGCCTGCCTAAGCTTGATGTGACCAGCTGCAGGAATATTGTGGAAACCTGAACGAAAAACTCGACGAACGAAAGCAAGGCAATGGAATGAGCCCGAATGATCGGGGTTATATGAAGAAGGGTTAGCATCATTTTTCAATAACCGAGAAAATATAGATGAAAGAAGTGTGACGTAAAATTTGGGTTTTTAAGGTGACCCGAGCCTACCTATATGCGTGTTGGTTACGTTTTTGAATCGCGTTTCGAAGGTTCCCGTCTTGAGGAGAAATAAAGCTACAGACCCCATTAAGTACTTTAATCGATCCATTTTCAGCTGCAACGGAAACCCTTGTATTAGGTAATTTAATCAAGCTTGTTTGATTTTCCATCACATTCGCACGGGCACTTTGCGATTGGGGTAATGAAAAGAATAAGGTGATTGTCATATTTTTTTCCTGTTTATCCCCAAGTGGAAAACTTCCCGTGCGAATGTGATGTCAAGTACAAGGGCTTTCAGCGCAGCTGAAAAATGGACGGTTAGAAATACTGGAGTTGGTGGCTCTATTTCTCCTCAAGACAGAAACCTGCAAAGCTAAAAACTGTTGAGAGTTTTTCTTAGATGCTATATTTTGCCTTGTTAAGATAGGTTTCGAAAAGAGATGGACAAATACAAAATAAGTTGTTATAATTAGAGAAATACATCATTTTTGCATGTTTTATTTTTATTTTCAGATAAAAAGGATTACAAAACAGATCAGGAATGAATTTTTTGTTTTGTTTAGAATTAATTATAAAAGGTTTCCAACGCTAAAGAAATTTTTATTTCGGAGCTAACGAGCGATATAAATAGAACAGATAGTTGCAAAAATCCGCGTCATTCTGCAGTGACAGAGTTCAAAATTAAGCATCCGTTACAAAAAAGAAAACATCAACAACAATAAACAAAGCACAAAACAAAATAGGGAGGATAGCGCAGTTTGAAATGAGCATTTTGGCAATCATTTTCACCAAAGCAACAAAAACAATAACAAAAAATATTACTTTACCTTGCTTGGTCTTCACCTGCCTCATACAGGAACTCTGAGATCATCTGTGCACTGAATTTAGCTGCTTACACAACGTCCTTTGCACCACTGACGACGTCATCAAAGGCCCCGTTAATATGGAGAAAACTTGTCCCGAGCACGTAGAAGGGTCACTCGACTGTCTAAGCTACCGTGGGAAGAGTCAACTTTTAATACGCATTTCCTTACAAAACGTGACAAACTGTTGCATGGGAAACAAAACGTTGGCTCGGCTTTTTCGAAGCCCTGGTCACCCGCCTAGCTTGGCCAACTTTTCTCCATGCAAACACTTTAACTCGCCCTGGCTCGGCGAAGTCAACTGGCCCAACGCCAGACAATCATTCAGAGCATGCGTTAGGGCTTTATCAGTTCTTAGCTTCGGACAAAAGGTCGACCTTTCTTCTAGCCCGATAAAACAGCCGACATTTCGCGACATCAATGGTGATTTGCCCGCGAAATGACGTCGTAGAAACAAGCGTAGAAATTCCATACTGATGACGCGTCATTCCCCTGATCTGGGTGGTGCTTCTGATTGGTTGGAAGTTTGCTTCACTGATCCAACCAGAAGCACCACCCAGATCTGGGTAGTGACGCGTCATCAGTATGGATTTCAGCGTTCGTTTCTCAGACTTCATGTCGCGGGAAAATCACTTGTGCGTCGCCAAATGTCGGCTGTTTTCTCAAGGTAACTTTTTTCTCATATAAAGGTTCGCTAAAGTCGACTTGGCTGGGAGGGGAGGGTGAGCCTCTTTACAAAGACAACTTTTCTACTCGTAAACGGGGCCTAACTTGTGTAGAGGAAAGAGATCTTTATCATGCCCTACCCGAGTGGATGCCGGCATTCAGTCAAACAGGCAAGAGAAAAACAAAAACTCATGTGATTCTGATTAAGTCTTGCTTAAAGTTAAATAAAAGCGGAAGTAAAACTATTTTGTTCACGGCCGGGAACTGCTATTCAAAACAGAAAAAGTAAAATTATTATGTTCACGGCCATTAAAAACAGGAAAAGTAAAACTAGTATTTTCATGGCCGGTAACTGCCATTCAAAACAGAAAAAGTAAAACTATAAATATGTTCATGGCCGGGAACTGCCGTTCAAAAGACAAAAAAAGAAACCTGAGACTTTTGGCGGGAGACAGTAGTCTTCTTTTTTTTGGAACGGAAGTTCCCGGCCATGAACATATTAATTTCCGGCTTTTTCTGTTTTAAACAGCAGTTCCCGGCTATGAGCTTACTAATTTTACTTTTTCTGTTTTGAATGGCAGTTGCCGGCTATGAGCATACTAATTTTACTTTTACTGTTTTGAATGGCAGTTGCCGGCTATAAGAATACTAATTTTACTTTTTCTGTTTTGAATGGCAGTTCCCGGTCGTGAACATATTCATTTTACCTCTGCTTTTATTTCACTTTTATTTTTATTTTCATTTCAAAATAAAAACGTTTTGTTTTGTGTTGAAAATAAACAAAAAAGAGTCTATTTCCAGTTCAATGGAAAAGAAAATAATGTTGCGTTTTACTTTTACTTCAATTTCAATTCAAGATAATTAAAGTTTAATGTAAAATTAACAAATTTATGTCGTTTTGACGAATGGCAGTTGTCGACCACCATAGAGATGTTAGGCACAAATGTTAATGTTTCCGTTTTTCTATTTAAAAACTATGTCGGTTAGCTTTCCACAAAAATGGTAGCGTAGCCAAAGTGACCGGCAGTACATGTACTTACTCCACCTAGCTACAAACTGTTCCACTGCCCTAGAAGTGATCGTAGAGGCGGTGGTACGGCCCTTTTATTTAGGGATAACATTAATGTTTGCAAGCTTGAATCTGGCTCTAGGAATGCCTTTGAATTTTCTGAGTGTCTCGTCTGCACTGGCTCTTTACGCATTCGACTTTAATTATCTATCGACCGCCGTATTCTACTAATCATCCTGTGACTGTCAACAGTGTTTTTGATGAATTTTCAGAATACCTGGAATCTGTTATACTATCTAATGATCTCCTCTGTCTAACTGGCGATTTTAACTTCCATGTTGATGATCACAATGATCCAGCTGCTTGTCGTTTCTTGGATTTATTGGAGTCAATGTCGTTAACACAACATGTGGCGAAACCAACGCATGAACATGGCCATACACTAGATCTGGTAATTACTAACTCGAGAGTCAGACAACCTTATTTGCGGTCGACCCGCGCCTGACATCTTATTTTCAGACCATCTAGCACTAACCATAAGAATTACTTGGTTCACTGGTTAATTGAGCAGATAACTTTCTAAACCTATATACCCTGGGTGCCAGAGACTTAACATGCGCGTTTTCCGGTTTCGGTCAAGTCGTTATAGTGACGTGACCTGCGCGGAAGTTTTATCTTTGCCTCTCGTGGCTTCGGCCATCGGCCGAAGAAGCATTGGCCTGCGGACGACCTCGTAACATCTCCGCCACATACGCGAGCAAAGACTACTTGTACCCAGGCAATTCACCACTTTCTTTTTTCCGGAGTGGACTGGAGCTAGCTTGCAATCGAGGCCAAGCCGTGGTAATAATCCACGTTTATATAAAAACATTCTAACATGACTCCGAGTCTTTCTGGTCATATTTCTATATTTGGTTTGGTTTTCTTTGTGCTTAAGTTTCTTCTGAGAATTGCGAGACAACAGAGTCGTGAAAAAGTTGCAATTTTGCCCCAAAAGCCTTGGGTGAGTGTCCAATTAAAAAATCAACAAACAGTCGGTGATAATCTCCCACCAAAAAGAACAGTACCAATTCGTGAGACAAAGCACAACAAACGTTTGATTAGCTAAGCAGTGCCTTTACTCATGCTTTAACGTCACTTTGCCGTTCTCTGCAAAACTACCGGTATAACATCAAA